CATCGATGCAAGAAGAAGGAATTACAGTTCTCGTAGTGCAGGAGACGGACGTCGGAATGGAAGTGTTCCAAGATGCTGTTGAGACTATCGGTGAAGAGAATGACAAGGACGGCGTGGGTCTCGCGGTGCTCTCCCTTAATTCATTCGCAAAGTTGGCATCGACTAGGACCAAAACTTTGAAGGTGCAAGGGATGATCGTAGGCCGCGAGGTCGTGGTTTTGTTGACAGCGGAGCATCCCACAATTTCATCTCTCTGAAGTTGGCCTGGGCGTGTCGGCTTCCCTTCAGTGAAACGAAGGGGTGTGGTGTGGTGCTTGGAATGGGGGATGAGGTTACAAGTCATGGAATCTGCGAGGGGGTCGAGGTGGTTTTTCCGACTATCACGATTGTTCAGGATTTCTTGCCAATCGTCTTGGGCAGTGCGGATGTGATACTTGGGGTACGGTGGCTATCAACTTTGGGGGATATCACCTTGAATCTTGGCAAATTAACGATGTGGTTCGAGTTGGGTACACAGACGATTATGATACAGGGGGAGCATAGCCTGCCACAGACACAAGTTTCCTTGAAAGCAATGTTGCGTGCCCTGCTATTAGAGAGACACGGGGTGCTTCTCGAGCTTAATTCTATACAAGGAGACGGGTCTCAGACTCATACATCATTGCTAGCTACACCACCACTGGAGGTGCAGTAGGTTTTGGGCGAATTTGCTAAAGTCTTTCAACAACTCGAGGGATTGCCCCCTTTTCGGGCCAAGGATCATCCAATTAAGCTAGTTCCGTTCGTTGGCCCTGTGAGCATGCGACCCTATCGGTATCCCCAATTTCAGAAGGACAAGATCGAGAAATTGGTTAAGGAGATGTTACTGGCTGGAATTATTCAGCCTAGCACTAGTGCTTTTTCTAGCCCGGTTCTCTTAGTACAGAAAAAGATTGAAGTTGGCGGTTTTGTGTTGATTATCGCGCACTGAACAGAGTTACCATTCCGGACCAATTTCTGATTCCCGTCGTTGATGAGCTGCTGGATGAGTTATTTGGGGCTACTATCTTTTCGAAAATTGACTTGAAGTTCGGGTATCATCAAATTCGTGTTCGACCCAATGACGTCCATAAAACGACTTTCCGAACTCATGACGGCCATTATGAATTTCTCGTCATGCCGTTCGGGCTCCGCAATGCTCCGTTCACCTTTCAATCCCTAATGAATGACATCTTACGACCGTTTTCTGTAAGTTTGCGTTAGTATTTTTTGATGAAATTCTTGTGTATAGCTCCTCTGTGCAGGACCATGCACAGGACCTTCGTTTGTTATTTCAAGCTTTGGAAGCCCACTAGCTGGTTGCTAATGAAAAGAAGTGCTTGTTTGGAGTACCTCAGATAGAGTATTTGGGCCATATTGTGTTGGGCGAGGGTGTAGCCGCCAACCCTTCCAAGATTTCCGCTATGCTTGAATGGCCCGTTCTGAGAAATATAAGAGAATTACGTGGATTTCTTGGGCTCACCGAGTATTATCGAAAATTTGTGCAGCACTATGGCTCTATTGCTTTTCCACTCACTCAGTTGTTAAAGAAGGACAACTTGTCATAGTCTGAGGCTGCCACTAAGGCCTTTGGGACTCTTAAGGAGAGCATGTCGTCCATTTTGGTTTTTGGCCTCCCAGATTTTTCAAAACAGTTTGTGGTGGAAATGGATGCTTCGGGCATTGGCCTCGGGGCTGTTTTGATGCAAGATATGCGTCCACTGGCTTACTTCAGTCATGCCCTATCTTCAACCCATTGTTACAAGGCTATTTACGAGCAGGAGCTCATGGCGGTTGTTATGGCTGTGCAAAAGTGGAGATC